CCAAACTTGTCTCGTTAAAGTTTCCTAAAAAGGAAAGTTTTTCAAAAATTTGAGGGAAACGGGAAAGAGTTTTTTTAATATTTAGTTATAATTATAATATTATAAAAAATATTTAATATATTATATATAATATTAATATAGTCAAAACTTTTTATATTGATATAACTGGTTTTTTTAGCAAAAAATATTAATACAGTCAAATCTTATTATATCAAACTTCGTTATACTAAAAGACTAAATAAAAATCCATTATATTGAAAATAAGTATAGAAATATTTATAGCAAATTTAACCTGTTATATTAGATTTACTAATTGAATCTTATTATAACAAATTTTTTGAAATTTTTGCCTTATGGTTTTAACTTATTTATTATAATGAGATTTGATATATATAGAATTTTATTATAAATATTAATATATAAAATTATTTTAATTAAAGATAATTTTCTTTTTTTTAGAATATCAATAAAAAAAATATATATCGGTATAAAAAAATAACTTTAATTAAGAATGATTTTAAAAAAATATTGATATAAAGAGGTTTGACTATATATTAATAAAGATTTCTATTTAATATTATTTTATTTAAAAAAATAATAATTACTTTAAAATATATATTTAATTAAATATAATAAATACAAGTTATATTACTAATTTAATAATAATAATAATATTTTTGTTTTTGTTTTTGTTAAATAATATAATATTAAACAAATAACAAAGTCTTGATATATTAATTTTGATATATACCTATAAATAATTTAATAGCAACAAGTCAATATAAAAAAGACTTGTTGATATATGCTTATAAATAAGTTAATAGCAACAAGTCAATATAAAGAAGACTTGTTGATATATGCCTATAAATAAGTTAATAGCAACAAGTCAATATAAAGAAAACTTGATATAACATAACATTTATTTAGAATGATTTATAAATAATAATTATGTAAAAAAAAATACAAATACAAATATGTCAGGCAAGGCCTCGCTAATTGAAAAAAAGAAAATAAAAAATATTAAACAAATTTTATAACAATTAATGGTTCTTTTTTTTTGTATTGCTCTTATTCTAAGAACTTTTCACATTTCAGTTGTAAGTACTAAACAAATTAAAGTATAATAAAATAAAGTATTATTTATTATAGGTATTGAAACACGTTTTTTTTTGTATTTCAGACTTCTGATCATATGAAATAACGTGATATAATGGAAATAACTAATTGATGGTGTCATGCTGATATGCAAATTGCGCAATCGTTTCTAGTAAAGATGATGTTCATCTAATCAATTTTTTTTTACGATGCTTATAAAAATCAGTTGTTTTTTTTTTGTAAAACATGTCTCTTTTTACGCCTGAAAAATAATGTCCAACGAAACCTTTCTTTTCACTTCGGAGTCAGTAGGTGAAGGCCACCCAGGTATACAAGTTATATCAATTCCTTTAATGATAGTTCGCATATGGTTTTGAGTCATTTATGAAGTTCATTATTTCATTTTTTTCATTTTACTTTTATTAATTTTTATACAGACAAAATTGCGGATCAAATATCTGATGCCATTTTGGATGCTTGCCTCAAGGAGGATCCTTTTTCTAAAGTTGCATGTGAGACAGCCACAACGACGGGTTTAGTACTAGTATTTGGAGAAATTTCTACCTCCGCTCCAATCGATTATCAAAAGATAGTTCGCGATACCGTCCAACGTATAGGTTATGATGATTCCGCAAAGGGATTTGATTATAAAACATGTAATGTTCTAGTCGCTATTGATAGACAATCGCCAGATATCGCTCAATGTCTTACGTACGAGGACCTTGAGAATATTGGTGCAGGTGACCAAGGTACAGTTTATTTTTCATTTACTATTTTGAAGCTAATTTTCAACTCAATGTGTAAGACAAGATTCATCAACTTTCAGGAATCATGTTTGGATACGCTACTGATGAAACCCCCGAATTAATGCCAATGACTCTTGATCTTGCTCACAAGTTAAATAAGAAAATGTCAGATCTTCGCAGGAGTAAAGAATTTAGTTGGTAGGTTTTTTGATCCAATTTTTTATTGATATTCGCATTCATTCATCAAATGTTTCTAAATATTTTGATTACTCATTAAATATCTTACACTTTTTCTTTATTTATTTTCATCATAGGATTCGTCCAGACTCCAAGTCA